GTCTCGACTTTCATCCAGTCTTTTATTTGCATGAATTCAAATTACGTCGAGCGGCTTTCCGCAGTTTCCGTCCGGACGAGGATCCTATTGCACTTGGAAGATGAGATAAACGCCAGGCCGATAAATTCCACTTTGCCCTCTTCTTTACCGCTTTTCGCTTTCCCGACATCTCACCCCGCCTCCGTCCCTCTCATCCTCGCTGGATGATACTACTTGATTATACGATAACAGCAGACCGGCTGTGTTTAACTTTCGGGTCGGCAAGAAAATGAGATTCCCGATTGCTGACGTCGTCGGATTTGTGTTACGTCCGCGACGATATCTCCTGTACTCGCGCCCAGAGTACATCTTACCGTGAATACGGTTGCTAATAATTACGAGAGTTCCCTTCATTAACCGAACGATCCGCACATTTTTCCGCCCACTGATCGGTGATCACGAATTTATTTATTTATTACATTCGTTTCTCCCCAGATCATGTCTAAAAATGAGATGTACAGTTATAAAATCGACATATCTATGAGCGTATATGTATATATATATACATGCAGTATGATATATAAATGTGATTATGAAAATAACTTTTCATGTAGCACAGAACATTGCAGCATTGCCGCAATGTTGCTGCTATGTTGTGTACTGTAAATCAAAAACATAACTGCATTTACATCTTTAATCACAAACTTAAGGAATTAATCATGCTTTGCACGTACGTTCTTATGGTACTTGGCACTACATACTATGGCAAAACTTTATCCTAAAACTTTAGCATTAGAAAAGAGATGCAAACATATATAATAATAAATATGTACGTGTAATATATAGTAGTTTCTTAAATATATTTGATAACATTTTTAATAATAATTTTGTAATACATAAAAAATATAAAAATAGAATTATCTTATATAATATATTTACATTATAAATGTGACGTAACCCATTTTAATAATCAATCATTGAAAACATTGTGAATTTTGCAAACATGTAGATTTAAATTTTATAATATCAAGTTAAAAATAACAATGTTTACGCGTCATGGTTTTCGATTAACGTAATTTGCGAGTGTATCTAGTTTTCTAACAAAAAGTCTCACTACAATCGTGTTTAAAAAATTAATATCAAAAGTGCATATTTTTACGGAAGCTTTTTTTTGGTATAGTTTTTTTGGTATAGTAGATTGTATGATAGATTTCGATTGCGCTTCCGCAAAAACATTTCGCGAATAAAAAGTTGGTGGAAAAATATTAACTTAGCACAATAAACATTTTATTTACTTTCTGTTCGATCATGTCAACACATACGCGTTCGTTCAAAGGAAAAGTTTCATCCCGACATTGTCGATCATGTTATTTTTTCCGAAACTTGTTGTTTTCAACAGGTTACTTGTTATCAATAGTTTTCATCGTTAAAATAGCGCGATAAAGTTACTTGTTATAGTTAATTAACCAAACAAAATATTTGGTAACATTAATTAATCAGATAAAAATCGTTTAATAAATTTTTTTTCAAATATTTTAACAAAGTTTTAAACACACAACATACTATTATCATTCATTATAATCAGTAAATGTTCTATTTTTCGATAATGCTTGAAATTGCTGTAAAATTGAATTTTAATTGCTACGCGTTACACAAGCAATTGCATTAAAATCCAAAAATGTTTGAATAATAAATAAGTTGCTAAGCATGCAGCTGCGAAACAAAAGATTAATGTAAATTATATAAATGTAATTAAGTGAGAAGCAAAATAATACACGCTAAAAAGTAACACGAATAATATAATCATATAATTTACATTGCTAAAATACAATATAATTTGACAGATCTGTAACGTGTTTAAAATTATGCTGCTATATTCAATGTTGAAAAAGGGATCTATTTATGCAGAAGATGCGAAGAATATTATTTACGATGCAAAAATATATAGACAGCAAAATAAAACTTTAAGTGCATCATATAACCATCGCAAGAAAACGTACGTATATAGCATGTGTATTGATTAGTCATCGAGGTAAAGAATGTGAAAACCATAAATGTGAGTGTACACGCGCGATTCTTTTATTATAAATACGCACACAAATACATATTCGTTCTCTTAATATATTTATATTTCATTTCATTTCGCGAAATTACACAGGACCAAGTAAATTATTCTGAGCAAAACAAATATATTGTAAAATTAATTTTCGCAATTCAAAATTGTTTGTTGGACAATTAAAAATTCACGTAATGTAAACGTGATATAATAGAACTATATCATTAATTTTTGTTCTCTTTCTCTCACATACGCAAATTATATTTTTATCTCGGTATAATAAGCGAAAAAGGAGGACATGCGTCACTCATGTCATCGACGTCACCTTCGTCTCAACGTTACGAGTCTCTTGAGTAGCAAAAATCGTTCGATCGTGAATTATTGTGCGGCGCTGAGAAATTGTTTGCAGTCATCAGAATGACATGCGTGACGCCAAACATGGTCATGACACGTATTCAAAAATAGAAATAAATATTTCTATATAAAATTTATTATGGCACAAGAAAATTTCTATGATCTGACAATCTCAGCTTTGTTTCTTTATATTTCGCAAACTTGTGCATTAAAATTATATCGTACAATGACATTGGCGGTGTACAGGAGGCGCGAAAGCAAAACACCGTCTCGACGATTTTTTTATTAATGGTTGGTCGTCGATGTAAAAATAAAATACCCACGAACATCCACAAAGGGGAAAAAGTTATTCTCAAAAACTAAAAGTGATGCATGCGGAAAAATCGACAGATCATTTGACGGAAAATCATTTGTGTTCTCGCCTTTTTTTTCGTTTACATCAATACATATCGATCGACCAATAATTGATGCGTCGGACGAAAAAGTTCGCAAAAAGTTTTTACTAATACTTAAAATAAATGATAATAAAATAAATCGAAGAATATAAATAGAATCACATAGAATTATATTTTCATAAAAAAATATAGAGAAAATATTCGTTAGAAATATATAAATTAAAGTGACCATTTTTTTCAATATCAGTAGTCGTACATCGTTGATTTCACCACACTAACAAATTGACACTCGCTTGTAAAAAAGCACAAACGTCGTATATTTCAGGAATATATTTATATGGGATTGTGTAATTTTTTTACATGTCAGCGTGTTTGTATTGACTTCGAGATGATTTACCGCGAATGGATCACAAACAATTTAAATCTCGCGTTGTGCAATTCTTTTTAATCCTTTTTCAACTTCCGTCAAATCGATCACAGTGAAAAAAAAGGGGTCAGTCGCTAGTTCGTTGGTGAGATATTATCGCGCGTGTACACGGATCGTTTAACTTTCCAAACTTTCTAATTTTTATGAGCATCGAGTGTATGTCCATGAAGCCGTGTAACAAATTTGTAAAACTGGATGGTTGCTATGTGCAAATTAAATCACACGAGAGATGTATCGATCTTTGTTATACAAGTTCACAGAATAGGACAATCTGATTTATAGCCGACAATGTATGTAATTATAGTACACATCGTCAAAGACACACACATACAAGCTCTAATTTTATATGATGCGCTATACAAGGCCATGACCCATTTATTCCGCCTCGCATGGCGCGCGACTAGAAATTATTGAACGCAAAGCAAACGGAGAATAGTTACACGCGCTGTCATAAACTGAGTCCCCGAGAGATTAAAGCCGATTACCCCGCGAGAGAGATGCATACGCGTTATCGGGCGCAGCCTCAGGTGTTGCAGCTACTTCAAGTTAAGTCGGTCTTGTCACGCAAATGCGCTCTACGTGTGTCATCGGTAATTGCGTGGATTTAACGTCGGTAAATGCACAACGTTGAATATCAATCTCTTTGCAAATGCGATTGCCACGTCGGTCAAAGCAACATTAAAGCTTACTTTGCGCTTGCCCTCTTGATTAACGGAATTAAATGTTATGTAATTTTGCTCATACAAACAAACACAGCTCTATCTGTCACTTCAATGTATCAGACTGGTGTTTTTTCAATTTTTCTGACATTAAAAACAAAAATTGTTAGTAAAAATTCTAGGCTAAAAAAAGTTGGAATTATTAAAAAAAATGGTTAAAATTTAAATTATTAAAAATAAACGAAAATATTCCGCATAACAGCAGCCACTTATAAAGAATAGACTTTCAAATTTAATTGGTACATTTGGAGCCGTAAGAAATTCGCGATCGATCTGATCGCGTTCGAGAGGTATTTCTTTCCGCTCTATATTAAAATCACGATTTCAAAGCTTCGTAGTTGCTTCAAAACACGAGCGAAAAGAATCGTCGATGAAACGATCCGGTTATAGAAGAGCACTCGGCAAACGTTTACGAATTATTTGAGTCTACGCGTACAAGGGCCGCCACAAGAGTGAGAGTTAACGGTCGAAAGCTGTTAAACCTCTACTACCCCCCTTACTTTGATTTCCTTTCTTTTTCTCACTCTTATCCGGCGCCTTTCTCATTATCCGCGAGTAATCGTATCCACCACGGTGCAATTGCACATGCTATACTCCGAGACCCCGACCGCAATTTCGCCAAGTAGCTGTCTCCCCAGAAATGTACGAATCGTGTATAAATGTGTGCGCTAACAATTATGTTGAATGATTAAAGATTCAACAAATAAGCTTTTTTTTTTAAATCTGTTTCTAGATAGGAAAAAGAATATTAAAATTTTCATATGTGTTTGACAAAATTTTAATTAATAAAAATTATTTTTCTCTCTCCTGTAAAATTAAATCGTAGATATAATACATTTCGTCTGTTACAAATATGACAAGTCCTTTTGCACTAATCTAATCTAAGATTACTACTGAAATTTGTTCTTTCCTTTACATTGAGATAATTGAAAAATTCTGTTTACACAAATATAGCGGACGAAGCGAAAACAGTCCGGAAGAAGTTTTCCGGTCGAAACTTGCCGCCGATATTCGTCTTCACTTAAGTCAATTTCTGAGACTCATCCCTTTTCTCTCTTTCTATGTCGCAGTGGCTCGGTTTGGGCATCATGGCAGTGGGCGTCTGGGCATGGACCGAAAAGGACACCTTCAACAACCTGTCTCGCCTCACGAACGTCGCACTCGATCCAGCATTTATCCTTATTCTAGTCGGTGAGTACTTTTCTCTCCTTCCATTTCGTCTTTTTCTCTGTTTCTCTCATTCACTCATTACGACTCGTATGAAGAGTTATAGTGACTTGGAGCTAAACTTTATGAAGAGGTAAATCCTAACTATATATATATATATATATATACAACGTGCAACTTCGTTAGAGACTGAGATTGCCAAAGATTTTAATTCCTTTCGTACGCGGAATAATTTCCGCTTATTCCTCATTTATCAGTATTATCCAATGTCACTTTTAGAGAAAATACTGTAACTTTTTATTAAAATAACGCTAGAATAATGTGAAGATATTAAATTGAAACTGCCAAAACGCGAACGCATAAATTCATTTTTTTAAATATCTTCAAGTATATAAATCCTAAGAGTTTCTCCGATTTAAACCTTTCAGAAAGATATTTATAACGTCTAACATATTTTTATTTAAAAATATAGAAAAAGATTTTTAAAAAATATTATCGTAAATTTTCGTAAGGAGGGCGAGAAAGAATTGTAATAAAACGGAAGAACTTTAATAAAAAATTGCACGGTGTAAAGAAACGTGGCAACTTTCTTCAGATTCTTAAATATATAACTCCTAATTATTCTTAAAATAATATAAACATTTCAGAAAGATATGTTCAATAATCACTATTTAGAGAAATAAAAAAAAATTAGAAAAATATTATCGTAGATCTTCGCGACGAGAGCAAGTCGTAATAAAGGAGGGAAACGACTTCAATAATGCGCCGTCTGATCATGGCGAGAATCGCAGTTTCGGCTCCCGGACATTTGGTGCATTCCCGGAGCGGAGACAGCAATCGCAATTTTTCCTCAGAACTGCCTGCGAAGTGGCTATCGCTTCCGTCGACGAAAACATTTCGCACGACTGCGCCGCCGCTATTCTCGTCGTAACTTAATTTCTGTATTAGCGCCGCTTGGACGCTCACTGACCTTATAAAACTGCCCGAAAACGACATTCGTTCTAATTCGTCCGCGAAATTCGCACGGAAATCGCGTAATGCGCGGCCAACAATAGCACGGATTTGTAATTTGGATAACGCCGAGAGACTGTACGTATATATATATCCGAGAAACGAAGCACGATGCGGACCGGAAATTAAGATGTCTGAATAGTCGTGAATTTTCCGGATAGTTTAAATCTTTCAAGAGAAGAGCTTTTTCTTTCGCGCATTGCAGAGAAAACTCACACTTTTTTATTCCTCTCCTCTTAGACTCGATGTATCTATCATTAAAATTCACGAAATTCACGAGGTCACGAAAATAAAAATTGTGAGACAAATATCATCTTTTTTTAAAAAAGAAAGATTTAAGATCGGAATAATACCGAGTAGAAACAAACTATATACTATACTATTTCTATTTCTTATAATTATTCGACCAAGACTTATCGATGCAAAATAAAATCTTTACGATACTTTAAAGTATGGTCTCCGAAGCAAAAATATTTGATTATTCACACGCTCTGCAATTCACTCTTCAGAGTACAACTTCTTTATAATAGAGATCGGAAAACTCTTATCCCGTTAGTCTGATTTATACAGCACTTCTCTTTAATGTACTGGAAGATTAATAGTGGAGGATTGATATAGTAAAAAACGATGGAAAATCTATTTTGTCCACACATTTTAGGTTCAAAATATAGTAGAAAAGCGAGAACAGATGGTTGAAATTTTACACAATTTACAATCGTTTTGAAACAATTACAGCTTTTTTCCTCTAGAAACGAGAATATATTTATAACGAGAATAATTTTATTTATCAGGTAAACATTTATCCAAGCATTCTACGAAAAGCGTGTTTACAACATAATAAATCTGTTTCAATTAACATGGCAAGTGTATCAAGCGGAAAAAAGAGATAGAAAAAAATGATTGGTGGTTTTCTTCGGGGATGAATCGCTCTCTCGTAAAACGTAGAGTAAATTAGGCGGAATGACAGGATGAAAAATAATGTCGGGGCCGTATAACGGTAATGTATAAATGATACTTGCGGCCTCGGTGCCGAATGCGGTCCTATGAATCAGAGTCCCAAAGGTAACGACACAATTTCTTCGCCGCGAAGGCGGAAGATAAGCTATGTGCACGCGACATTACCGGTCGTTAAAGGGTGCGTTTTGCCAACGCGCAAAGGGAAGAGCACGTCGCTTTTTGTCGGTGGTCACGATCGTGACGACCTATTTTCACAATACTGAATCGACTGCATGATGTTCGTCGCCATTAGCATGTATAAAGATTGGTGCAAAGCGGATAGATTTCTCGTAAAAACTCGAACTGATTTTTCTCGGCAAAACTGGTGCAACACTAATGATTATTTCAATATTGAAGCGATGTTTGAATCTTTTCGAGCATGAAATTTCAATCTTTGCTAAACGAGAAAAGCTCGATTTGAAAAAAAATCAGAAATGTCACCCAGAGAGAAATCTGCGAGGATTTTGAAGGGAACATTAATTAAAATGTACAGCGCATACGAAGGGTTAAAGGCGTGTAGAAAGTGCCGCCATCCTTGATACATCTTCATTAACCATCGTAGGCGCTTTCTCTCTGTTTCTGCCACGTGAATATAATATTCCGTCAACTAAAGCAGATGCCTTGCTGACAAATAGGCATAGATTGCGCGCCCCATTCCATTCCTATCCTCTTTCTCTCTCCTTCTCCGTCTGTCTCTTTAACACGATGTCAAAGTTTTAATTGGATACGAGCTGGCAGCGAGCATTGGACATAAAATTAGGACGAGGTTTGCGTCCGATTTATTTCGTCGGTCCTCTGGGTTGCATCGAGGTTGCAAACGTCACGTTTCTAACAAAGAGACAATGAGAAAGAGAGAGAGAGAGAGAGAGAAACAGATGCGTTCCCAGAGAGCTTCACATGCACCGTCGCAAAACGCGATGCTGTAAGTCGGATTACCACTGGGTATACACGTGGATTCTGGGAGATTCCGTCCTCCGGAAAGCCGTTCGCACTCGCGGAGCGGTCAGCCGCTCGCGGTTTCACCGAGCCGTAATGGCGAGAATGCTTCCGGGAATGTTCCCGGCGACCGAATCCAAACTAGTCTGAGACGACCGAGCCGAGGTACGACGTTCTCTGCGGGATGTCGTGCGGCCCAAATCGAATTTGCACGTGTGATCCGGTACGTCGAAAGAACAACGGACCGTACGCGGGAGACCGCTCGGGTACGAAAAGAGGGACCGATTTGCGGGAGCTCATCTATTTGTTTGCCTCGAGACTGTGGAAACAATCTCCTCGGAGTTCGAAGGGGATGGCGAAAAGAGACGGAGCATGTTCGCTCGGTCGTTGTTCTTAATCGAATCCGATAGTAATAGTAATTATTCCTCAATTTACTTGAATGGTATTAAAGATTCGCGCTCAATTTTTAAACGTAAATAATATTATATTAAAAATATATATATTATTAAAAATATATATTAAAAAATATATTATTAAAAATATATATTAAAAATATATATATTATATTAAAAATAAAAAGAGGGAGAAAGAGATATATCTGATACGTTTTTTTTTAAATATTTGTCGTTTTTTATCTACACATGCTGTTTTTTATTCCGTCAAAATAAATGCATCGATTAATTTTGTTATTCATTCCGCTACTGTAATACAAATTAAATATCATTAGTTTAATATTTGTAATTTAAAGCAGTGAATATGCGCAGTTTGCGTGAATATTTAATTCGTAGAGTTAAAATAAGCAGCGAACTAGCTCGTTGTGTTTGACTTTCAGTCATTAAGAGTTTGTTCAGCGCAGTAGTATTTGATATTACGAATATTCGTTATAGCTGATCAAATATCAGCAGACAGTCTTTTAATCTCAATCTTTAATATAACTGTATAATTGTATATATAAAATTTAATGCGCTAAAAATCGATATTAACGATATCAACTTCAAGAGACATTTTCAAAACAACATCTTTTCATTATTCATCTTATTATTATATCTATACTTAGGAAAGCGACGCGCTTGTTAATTATTTCGTACTTGCGTAGCGTGCTCCATCGACCTGTGCCCGGCTTTCGATTATCCTATGCTCCAATTACTTCCATTTACTTTGACAAGTAACTCTACCTCTTCTGGCTTGCGCTTAATTTAGTGTAACGGTTGCCAAATAACAACAATTTAGACTTTAGATACGCTACACCAAAAGTTTTAAACGCATTTAAAAACAGCATATATTTTTATCTAAACCGTTAATAAAATGAAATTGTGATACCATATTGCAAATATTATAAATTGTTTAAGGTAACGTTCCTTTTTTGTCACATTCGATACAATTATTCTCAAATTAAAAATTATATTTCAAAAGTTTCTGATAATGTAAATATACATTTCTCAAAATTAATCCGTACTTCGAAGTTCATAAATCCTGATACGTTGGATACGGCGAGAAACATCCGTTCGAAAATCCGACTAAAGTTATTAGCATTGCTGCCCGCTAAAACCATGTGACGTTTCGAATAAATCGCAATTCATGCAAAGAGAAACACTGAATCCCGGATTACGTTTATTTTCCGTACTTAAATAAATGCGATCCCGTGTGCACGATTAAATGCGACATTTTGATTTTCGCCTGCGTATGTCCCAATTCTGATCGGATATTATTTCAAATATTCGTATCGCAAAATTACAATAAATATGAAATAATTACAGAAGGATATCCAACTAAAGTTGAACCATAAAAACCGATTTTAAATTGCTTATAAAATCCATCGAGAAAAAAGAGAAAAAGATCTCTCTCTCTCTCTCTCTGGATATTTTTTAGTTAGTAAAAATCTAAAATCGAAACGAATATCGTTGGTCCACATTCCCCGTTATATTCGCGTGTCGCGAGCCGAGATCAAACGGATGTGTCTCTCTTTCATGCAATTTTATTAGCATATGACATAAAGCAACGTCGCGATATTGCAGAGACGGCAAAGCCGCCCTTTCGGCTACTATTGGCTCACACCTACTAACGTCTCTTTTATAAAACATTGAGTATGTACCACATATTAATGCGAATGCGAGCTGAGATGTAACGTAAGTTAAACGACATTTTTTCAGCGTGATTACAAAAAATCGCATTAATAATTAACAATGAAATTCATGTGAATTAAAATAAATTCCATGCTTTCAAGTATACTCGAGATAGAGTATCGTGTATAATAGCCAGTAACCTATACAAAAATTGTTCAACTGCATTTTCAAGTAGATACACGTTCCTACGTGTTCTCGGTCTTCGTTTTTCTTCGTTGACTTTTTCGTTCGGGCGCAAAGCGTTCCGTCGTTGCCATTTTCTTCTAGTTCGCAGCAAGGCTTAACAAAAGTTTCGAAAGTAACTCCGGACTAATTATTCAGTTATTTGAAAGCTTCGTTTTACGCTACCGCACCCACTTTACCATCGGATTAAAAGTTACCTCCATTTCCGGAATACATCCTAAAATCTTATAACTTTCGATGATAGATAAAATTCATTAAGTCCGACAGCATGCCCACCGAGTTTGGCTTATAATCGTTTTCTCGATGCAGCTATTAATTTTTAATACACCGGAGCCACTTTCATCAACGTTATATACGATAAAATTTGCTTTAAATTGTTTTAAACATTTGAGCCATATAACTTCTGTTCACGTAAAACTATCATCTGATTAGTAAGGAATATTTATGAAGTACCGAATCAATTTTGGGAAAATGTACAATATTTTTGAAAAGATTCATCGGGACAAATTCAACAGTTTATCATTGTATGACCCGAGACGAGGTCAAAGACCAAAAATCGGGGAGACCCAACTTTGGGCAAAATTCAAATTTTAATTGTTTGTGCGCGGATAAGTTGATTTAAAATCGAAATACGATGATGTATTTGAAATTTACTCATGATGCTAAATCGGATGATATTAAATACTTAAATTATCTGCGCATCAATCAAATTTTGAATTTTATCTAAAATTAAGTTTCCCGATTTTTGATCTTTTGTCCTGATCTCGGACAGTAATGATATATATGTGGAACTTGTCTCGCGCGACAAGTACTTTAAAAATATACACACTTCCCTAAAGCCGACCCGACACTTCGTGAATGTGTCTTGTAAGATTCATCAGCAAAAGTTTACAAAAAATATTTTTGTCTCAACTACTATTTTCTTTAATATTGAATATTAATATTGAATATATATTAAATATATAGAAATAAATAAAATTATATATCGAATATATAGAAATAAATGAAATTCAATTTTTAAATTTATACTTGCGAGTTTATTTCTATGCAAACTCCAATACTGTTTATTACGTTTTTACGCGGGTTTGATCTTTTTAATACCACTTAAAAATTAATATTTGTATTTTCGTTGCAGCGATATTAAATTTAAAATTTAAAAACCTGCGTTCAAATACGCGCAGATTAATCGTGATAGCATGAATTTCGAGTATTTGTCCTCTGGCCAACTTTTCGTTAGCATATACACGAAATTGATTCAGCGCTCATTACGCTCGTCCGCGAGTAGCAGATAATTTCATAAATATTCCGCATTACCATCGCACGCGCAACGCAGTACCGCTGATGACGCACTATCACGAAATTCAACTGAATCTCGCAGAGGAATTTTAATATAATTACTTGTGTAACTCTACGAACGTTCGCAAATCCACGTGTAGCGTATACGCAACGTACGCTACGTAAATCAAAGTTGATGAAATTCCAGAACTCTACGAATATTTCTCGATTTCGCCGATCAATAAACATTATCACTCTCACGAATCAAGACTGTAAGGAAATGTAAAGCTTAAGTAAATACGAGGATAAAATAAAAGAAACTCCCTCGATTTTGTATTTTATCATCGCTTATTTGTATAATTTTGTCTGATTTTTGGGGAATTTTCATGATTTTCTATACACTTTGCATCCACACATCAATATATAAATATACCTGTGAAATCTCACGCGCAGGAATGTCGATGCGAGAATGAATTCACCGATGGGACTCACGCTCATAATTCACGATTATACGATACATTGATGAATGCGTTCGTGTGTTCCTCGCGTTACATATTTCGCGCGCTATGTGACGAAGTACCCGATATTATTTATTCTGTTGCAGGTACAGTGACATTTATCATCGGTTTCACGGGATGCGTCGGCGCGTTAAGGGAGAACACATGCCTCCTAGCTGCGGTAAGCTCTCTATGGGATTCAATAAAGATCTCGCTGAATTACTTTAATTGTTCAATATCTTTTGAAACTTTTCAAGTTTGATTTCGCGCTTCCGGTTCATTACGTGATATCTATGGTCTATCGCTGCCTTGCCCGTTCCCCGCGCGATCAAACAAAAGTCCTTTGAAAAATGTAACGTTTCAAAGTATTTAAAATTTCAAAGAACTCGGCTTTCTTTGAAGATTAGAGTTGCTGGAAAGATAACGATCGGTCCAATGGCGGTTGAAAAGGATGATCTTGACGAATAGGAAACGACACTATAATAGCCATTAATTAATTTCTTTTCAGGGATCTTACGAGAATTTTCATTCAGAGTTAATTTCGTATTACTGTTGTAGTACGCGATATTTCTGGCTCTATTACTGCTGATGGAAATGGGTGCTGGTGTCCTAGGATTTATCTTTAAAGATTGGGTAAATATTTCATAGCGTATTGTTTAATTTAGTTTAAATTTTAAAAAAATTACTCATTTATTTTCAGAATTGATAATAATAATAATAATAATAATAATAGCAAATATCTAGTAAATATTAAAGTAATATATCATAGACAATATTATTTTACAGCTATAATTTGGTATCATTTTTTTATGTTGCATGCGCAGGAATTTAATTATTCGCTCGAATAAAATTGCACGGGATGTACAGTTTTGCTAAAATTCAAAAGATTTCTACGGAATTAAACATTTGCAAAACAAGTGTACTTGTTCCTCGAAACAATTTTGTCGCATTTATTCGTAATTATTTCTACATGCAGTGTTTATTAATTAAATAATTATAGGGAAAGCATGGCTAAATTGTCAAAGCAAATAAGTCCAATGCATTGTGCAAAATATTCGTCGGTGCATATTTTACAATCTTATTCGCCGAGAAAACATGCACGCGCGCTCGCAAGCAAGACGAACACGTAGAACAGACTCTAGACCATGCGCCGACGAAGTTTGCGTATAATTATGCAGCAAGTTCTCAGGTTACTAATTAATTCCATTAACCGTATCCTTTAAACATGACGAGAATTTTCTTCAGCCGGTGGAAAATTTGAACAACCGACAAACGGCGCGCTATCGTATCACGCGCAGCTCGCGTTTTAATGCGCGTCGTTTTGCTTTACGACCGGCGAGAGAAGTTAAGTTTCGTCCTTGAGTATTTGCACCTGCAACGCCTATAACAACCGTCGATTGTCGAGAAGAGGGAATATCCGAGCCAGAAATTACCGATTGTAAAACTTCGCAGAGAAATTGTGAAACTTTTTACACGAGATTCCATCTCTTCGAAATTTCTCTTCTCTCCCTTTTATTTTTAACGAAGAGACTGTTGGAGAGGAAGCTCTTATTAAATGTAAATAGTTTAAAATAGATCTCCCACTTTAAAATAGATCTAAAAATTATATAAATAATATAATGGACGCATTAATTAGACTGATATTTTATTTGCCACGCAGATAAAGTCACAAGCTACGGGAGGCTTCCAAGCATTTATCATCCACTATCGTGAAGATCCTGATCAGCAGAATCTCATCGACTGGATTCAAGAAGACTGGGCAAGTTGATTAAAATTATTCAATTACATTGGCGTATACCGCACGTGCATTTCCTCTTCCGTAGATTCAATAATATAATTTCGACACACGCGTTTCCCTTATATACGATTCCCCGCGAAATAACCAAACTCGAGAAACCTAACCGACTCGGTCTCAATAAACGTACGTATGTGTCTAAAGTGACCAAGGGAATGGGGTTCGCGCGCATTCCTAAGCAGCAGGGGAAATTGTGCGGTTAGACGGTTACCGATATGCAAGTTTGCGCCAACTTTATCGAGTCTGCGCCGCATGAAAATCTGGCCGCGAGATCAGCTTCGGCGACCGCCCAAATAGCGCGTAATATAATAGCAGAATTCGACAATCGATATCTGGTCATCCAATTGTGGTTTATGAGATTTCAATAGAACCGCTCAGGTACACTGCCGCAATTTCGGTAATCCTATCAGTAGAAGCTAGTCGACGGTAAACCGCACACGCCGCTCTCGCGCGTCGCGCCGCACACATTACCAGATCTGGCGAAAATTTCATCCGTTCCGCCAGACTTTAGCGGACACAGGACGCGACGGTGTGATTTACGTTCGGCCAAGTATCCAGTGGAACCGCGAAAATTAATTCAACCGATAGATCCGTGGCGTTCTCAATGCGAAACGCAGTTTAGCTAAAATGTGAACCTCGCGGAAGGGAGACGGGGATGAATGACTTTGGTCGCGGAATCTGCCATAATAAGCTTATGGGCGTTTATATACTTATATATATATATATATATATATATATATATATATATATATATTCGTTGCATCCATCGATCGATCGATCGAGTCGCATACACGCACAAATTATTCCGCGCATCCCGGGTACATACGGAAACATTTGCGAATTGATTCGGTTAATGTCGGAACACGCGAGCGGCAGGCCTCAGAGACCGCTGATGAGTCCACAAACATCGAATTACTACCACAATTCTCCATCATCGGCCCAATTATTCCAGCAGACATATTCTTATGCCATCGATGATTGATAGAGGAAGTCGCATTTTAACCAATTGAATAAAATAAAAGTGACCAGAAAAGAATATTGTATCGCGGATATTTCTGCCAAATTAATGAGCAATTATCAGAAAAATGTTTATAATGATTTTATCATAGCTTCTCATAGAAATTCTGTAGAATCAGCCACGTTTAACGTAAAATGTCTAAGTACGTGCATAAAGAACAGCGATATTTCGAAAGATCTCATTTAGTTTGTTTAAATATGACAGTCGCGTTTCCGGCGCAATATCGAAGAACTCGTTAATCGATGGTCGGCCGACCAATTGTGGTTCGCGAGATTTCAATAGGGACGCCCGGTATGCCGACGCGCAATTTCGACAATCCTATCAACCTCGGGGAAACCGAGATACCGCCGAGTTGCCGTATACTGTATTGTCTGGCTTCGTCGGGATCCATTCGGTACCATTTATAGACGGTTAATGAAATGCTTAGTACTTCGACTTCGTGCGGTAGCGAGGCGAGGAGCATATTTACTATCACCATCCCACTTATCAATTGACTCACTCGGTCGGTTTGACCAACACGATCGATGTACAGGACGTATCAAGAGAGATGTATATGTATGTTGATAAAAATTTTATTTTAGAAGTCGACTTTTCCGTAAGGAATATCTCATTTCCGTCTGATTTCGTCGAGCATCGTATCAAGGAGTCTAAATTAATTTCATTATCGTTCAACGATGCGAGCATTAAATGAATTATGGTCCGATCTATTACTATTCGTGCATCTATATTGTTGTGCCTGTGCGTGAATATTTTTTTACATGATTTAAGCGCAAGTTTTAGCCGGGAAAAAATCGATACGGGAATTGAGATCCGTTGTTGACGTCTCTTGATATCGTCTGTACAGCGTGTCGAGCGCATAATAATTAAATCCAGCTAGAATCGGAAACTCGTATCCCCTATCTCAATACTCGGCGCATTCGCATCTCGTATGAATATTCCGCGCGCCCGTGTTTCGTATTATGAATATTTGATTGGAACGAATTGAAACGTTGCCGCATGAATGATTGAAATAAAACGATGCTAAAAACAAATCAGCTAAATTACGCAGTTGGTCGGAATCCGCTTGATATTACTTTTCCGTCCTCCACGCAAAGTTTTTTCCTTCTTCCTTTCTCTCGGTGTATCGGCTTTGTGTGATGGCCACTTCTTACGAAGCCTATAATCGAATCGTATAAAGCACGTGTGAAAAAAATATAACAAACGATACATTCTCGCATATAACCGCGTGTCATTATTAATACTGAAATTAACAAATATTCTCAGTATCGATTATCTATTTTTAACATTGATATAGAATCTCTTTCGTGCTGGATAATTCACTCTGATTAACGTGAAATGTCTTTACTCGCGTAATTGCAGTACCAAAAAATATGAATATTCCCGTGATTAATTAATTATATGATAAACTCACAAGATATACATATAGCGAACATTGGTTGATTAATTAATGCATCGTATAATGGTAATATTAATTGACGATACAGCGAATTACTCCTATCTCATAATTATCCCAAATGGATTAATACTTGCAAGATCACTGAATGAATTGTCCCTTAAAAGTAATCATTAATACGAAATACGTCATTTTCAAGGGCATATTTGTATGCAAAATTAACATTGGCTCTAAAAGATTTTTTATTAGATGAGCTTTAAAAAGGTATACATATATTATAAAAAAATATTTAAAATTATATGAACGAGTATGAAATATGAAATTATACGATAAATAATAACATTCATTATTTAATAATTGCATTATTTATTGCATAATTTTACGCTTATATTATTCACATAATTTTGTAATATTTTTTTACAATGTGCATGTATGTACATCTGCTATTCTTTAATCTGACGTTTGATGTAATCAGCGGGAAAAAAATGCTAAATTGACGATTATCACATACGAGAAGGAATAAGAAGCCTTAGAGTCTCGTAGAGAAGACAGATATTGAAGTTTAATGAAAGTCTCGAAATTTGGACCAACCGACCAAATCCGACTTACGTCGCATCCTCTCAGCCTTTTTCTCATTCCTTTAATACTCTGCTGCTTGCGATGGGATTCCTTTTTTCTCTCGCACTCTTATTACTTCGCCGCTGGACGATACGCGCCAGTTCGTTTCTTCTCTTTTTCTTATCCCCCCCGCGCGCGACTGGATCTCTATATAAATCGCGTATTTAATATCATACCGCTCCTCAATTCCCAGCGCAATCGGAATTATTTATGACAGCGTTTGAAATTCATATTTTCATCCGTGGTATTCATCGCAAATTCGATCACGATTGATCATATCGGCACTTCATATCGGCACTACGCGAACTCCGCCAATAATGCAAAATATCCCCTTGATGCGCTTTGAGCACGATTCTCTAACTTTGCTCTCATGTAGATAACATTCTCGTCTGTATGAACGTTTTAAAGCGGCGAATTTTCCACCCGACTATTACGTATAGAAACGAGTTCCATTCTAGCGCTCTATACATAATGGATCAACGAGAAAAAAAATATTAGAGTTCAATATAAAGTTGTAAAAGTCTATATTAAAAAAATCCAGACACGTATCAATATTGTTTTAAAATTATTAAAAAAAATGTATTATTGTGCACAAAATTATAAAATTTATCTTTTATCTTTTCCAGTTGCAATGTTGCGGTATTGAGGGCCCAAAGGATTGGGACCGCAACAATTATTTCAATTGTTCGTCGAGCGACATCGGCTCGAGGGAAGCGTGCGGCGTGCCTTTTAGCTGTTGCAAGCGAAAACCTAATGTAACTTTTTATACATTGATTAGAATATGCAATTTTCTGCCGTCTTGAAAAATATTTTCTCATCAAGTACTAATCGCACTGTTGAAAGTCAAGCAATCCTTCTTATTTGTTTCAGGAAATTATTAAAAATAAACAATGCGGCTACGACGTTAGAAAGCCTAGTTATGTAAGTACAATATCTTACTTTTATCGTTTTAATACCAATTAAATATTTTTAATTAAAAACCCTTGTTTTTCCCATCTTATTGTAAAAGTAATGACTAACGTAATCGAGTAACAGAAAATTCCAGACGTAAAAAAAACTAACGTCTATAAATATTATTCAATTATAGCGCAAATAATAGCTATTTTTTTATTACCTTTGTTCAATTTTTCTCGTATTTTTTATATTCTTTTAAGTTCATCTTTCATTGTAAGAGATCTTATATCATCTAAACAGAACTCTTTTAATTTCGTTAACAATCATAAAACTTCATACTTATATTACATCTAGTATTCTAAGCGACATCTTACGTATTCCGACTGTTAGTTCTGCTTTGTTTCCGATTCGAAACTTGCGTTATTTCGCGAAAGATACGGTAAACCAGGGAAGGAAAACGTGCCTCGAAGGGGCACCGAATAATTTGTCTTTGGAATTGCGTTCTATCGCGCGAGTCCAGATTTGAGATAAGGAAGGGTGGTTCGCAAGGGTAGTTAGTTCTGCATAGGCCGCGCGCGCAGGATTACACAATGTCTACACAAGCGCAGCTAAAAAACGACTCGGGTCAAGAAACCGTGGAACTTAATTAGAGAGAAAATGCTCGAATCCAAGGGACGAGAGAAAGTGTGGAAGAGAAATAAGAACTTCTGTGCCGTCTTCTATTTTAAGAGCAGATATATCATCCCCGATGTAATGGCTCTTGAAACTCGCCCTCGCTAATTACGCTTTCATCGAGAAACCCCCATCGCTTAATTATATTTTTTGCCGGACGATCGTTAATGCGCCGCGATGCGTTACGAGTCGATAAAAAGCGAATAAATAAATAATGAAAAAGAGCTTTTTCCGGCGCATTAGCAAAGTATCGGCTATTCACTTTGAACATATGTGTGCAAATTAATAGAAATTAAATCCGAAACGGATATCATCGTTTGACTAATTTTACAAATAAAAAATTAAGTCCGAAATAAACTGCTACGGGTGAATTTTGTAAAAATTTATTACGCGGAAGAGAACTAATGTTACGTGTGCACCATCACGAATATACCCATACCCCCTTTCGCTCGTTACAGCACACTTGCACTAGACCACTTCACGCAACAGCGAGCATCACGAACACCTTATTACATTTCTCTTACTTTCCCCCTGTGGTTTAAACCGCTAAATTATGCTCGCGCGTCAGTCGATAAACCCTCTTAAGTTTCCTCTTTCCCTTAAGGGCGTGCGCTTTGTAGATTCGTGGTAACATAAAAAATACATATATCTGCGCGCGGGAATCGCGATTAGAACCTAACGGGCGAGTCATTTATTTTTTTCTATTCACTCCCTTCTCGGGAGCGAGACGACGTTTATTCTCGGTTTACAACAACGACTTAATTTCGAGCGTCTCTGTCTGAGCTGTTAGATAAAGATCCTGTGTCTGCCGACTTTTAAAATCATTTCTATTTGCCCCCTTGGGCCAATGCAGACGGGAGAGAGGAGTATATTCGAGCGGGGTTGTCTAAGAGCGGGCGAGGAGTGGCTAGAATTGAACCTCGTACCCGTCGCTGGTGCTGTGGTCTGCACCATGATTTTGCAGGTACTCTTTCCCTGAAAACTGCCGTCCACCAAGATGGGAAGTCTGAACTTTCTCTGCTCGTCGATCGACTAACTGAGCTACTAAACTGCGCATCGATCGATCGCTCGATGAAATCGAATTCATCGAAATACCTTTTCTGCTTGGAATGTAATCCAAAAATCTAAATACAAATATAATGCGTTTGCTGTATAATACTTTAATATAGAATATATTAAAAGGAATTTTTCAAAATAAAATAAGCACGTTTAGAAAAATGATGCTTTCAATTCCGCGATACATTTGCCGGATATAGTTATCTATGAAAACCTCTCGAGTGATATTTCTATTTCCATGAATGAAAGTTTCTATTTTATTCGGGCGCGAAATTGCGCCACGGCGTAGAAATAAAGTATCTCTCGCAAGAAGCGACGCGGATTTTCAGACAAACCGCGTATATAAGTTTCGCGGAGAGAGAAATACCGTCCGACAATAAAGCGCTCGCGGAGATTGATAGTCGCGATCGTCGTCACGGAAAGGAAAGTACCAACTATCGTTCGTTGCACTCGGCGGTGACATCTGCGAGGGCGCGTATTTCCGCCATCGAATCTTCGATCGTGCGTTGCCTTACATACCTTTCTAAAAGCGTATGAATATGTCAGGCCGCGCGCTTACACAGTTTGCCGCCGATCGATCCGCTTTTATGCCACGGTGCAAAGACCGAAAGAAGTAAACTTTGGCGGGAGATCGACCGAGAGCGCGCGCGCGAAGCAAAGCGGTTTACTGTTGAAACTTTAATTCCATTAAGCGATATTTTGCGCGCGGCAAGTCTCGACTATGATGCCAATTAGCTCTAAATATGCGCGCCGAGTTTGAGAAAGTTGCAATTTCCCAACTTCTCGATTCCTTCAATAGAGATGCCACTATTTGCCAACGTGGTCGCATGTATGTTAAATGTAGACGTGATGAAACTTTGCGCATAGAACGTTCCACAGTCACCAGAGTGTCCTTTCATTACTGTGTAGTTTTGCATCTTGATATTTTTTATGAAAATATATCAATTTCAAACCGACTGACGGAAAGGGCTTTCGTGAATTAGTCACGATTTTGGAACATTCTGTGTAAAATTGATTGACGTTTCCGTTTTCTTTCTGCTTATATCGACTATTCTATGACACATGTTCGCCTTTTCAAATTTAGAAATGTCACCATTAATATGTACATTTAAATATATCTTGTCATTATATGGGTCAAATTGCAAGTAAGTACACTCATTCACGACGTGTATATCGCATTTTTATCGATGCGTTTTACGTCTATACACGATGGCTGTGCGAAAGAATCGATACGGTAAGTACAACACGTATATATCCGCTTTTAAACAAAAACGTCACGTGTACAAACACATAGTATAGTGCAATATCGAAGCGAAACCAACACAAAAGATTTTGTGTCCCACATAACAGGTCTATAGAAAACGTAGCTCGTATTACGATTGATTTATTTGCAAAACACGGTGTACGCCAGAGAGATGTACGTCTTTGGAATGAAATTTTATACATATGTGTATATATGTGTATACATGTACTAGATTTGATTTGCAATAATTGAATAGTCGATCGAAATATTTGCGACAGAAATTTATAATAGATGATGTTCAAACACGATATTAGATCAAATATATGTAATACACATTCTGATATATTGTATATATCCTTTGTCTAAACAAATATTATAATTGGGGTAGTTTCTTTATGAATTTTGTGGAATTATTGTTCATATTTCAGAAATATTGCATAATTTAAAAAAATGCAAAACGCTTCGTTCATATTTTTCTTTTTTGGAAACGCCGCTTTTCGCATAATTAGGCACATTATATTCTCTTTAATGAAGATAGGAGCGTAAGTCATAAGCGCGCATATACCATACAACTATTCTATAAAAGCGCTTATACGAACCTGGCACGCGATGCAATAATACGAGTTTTTGTCTGTCTCATAATCAGTACGGTAAATTACTGCCAACTCGCTGCATAATCTTGACGGCCAGAACTATTATGCTACCCTTCCTCCGATGGGCGTAATAAAGTCCGAAAAACTAGTTTGCACGTCATAAATGAACCTCTCTTTTCCTTTCTCTGTCTCTCTTCTTCCTTCTCTTAGCGCAACTATTAATTCCATGATAATTATTCAAATTTCAATTTCGCGGCCGACGAGTTTTATTATTATTATTTCGATGATGTTCGCATGCAATTATGTCGCAACAAGATTGCATATTGACATATCGGCCGATAAACTGGTGCGCATTAATATTACATTAATTGACACGTTTAATCGAAAATTATCGAGAAATTCATAATTAAATTTGTTATTAAAATACGATTAACTTAACCGTCAGTCAATATGTAGCTCCGAAATTAACGAATGATTCAATGGGGCGATAAATTGATTTAGTAAAAAAAAAATCGCAACTGACCGACTGACGGCAGTCGATGTAAATTCTGTTCATTGAAATGGGGATTTTATAGATTATAGATTGGTGGATCGAAGATTTTCAGGACAGACAAACGTCCGACTTATGTTGATTCGAGGGAAATTATCAAGGCACATCGCGAGACCGTAAAGTCGCTCGCGTGCAATTATATAACGTCAGAATTACGTACGCGCGGAGCCGGTCGGCGCAGAATCATATTACGCTAAAATCACGAGATTATACTACTACGCTAGAGCCCGGGATTATGCTGCGCTATAATCGCGCGCTTATCTATGCTAGCGCACGTGATTGTACCGTGCTAGAATTGCGATGTTATCTATGCTAATACGGCAGATTATAGTACGCTAAAATAGGGAGGCTGCCATTGCCCTCGTGCCTGTCCAAAAAAAAAACACGAGAGCGCTTAAAGAAGGTCTTCGTCAAGGGGTGAGAAATGTAGCGCACAACGAACGGTGGAAACGAATAAAAACGAGTGGGCACGAGTCTCTCTCCAGAGGTCTTTTTCATCGTCAAATTAATCTTCCTTGCCACTCGCAAAAATTTTCTCGTCGTTCGCTTACCTTACGCCTTGTCGGAGAGTCTCAATTAACTTTGCGCTTAACCAAAGTCACGTTGCGTACACATCAGACCTTCGTCACCTATTTTTCATCCCAATCTCTGTCGTTACCCTCATCGCGCGCATCATCGGCTGCTTTGACGCGTACGAGTCGAAATAAATTAGCAGTTTCCGCTCAAAGTTGTTCGAAACGACGAAGAGGGCAGGGCGGAGACTCGAGTAATTAGGGCATCTAACGCCCCGCTAATGAGGAAGTCGCACAATATCGTCGCGTATCACGGCATCAGCGAAAACGAGAAGGGGAGACGACGATGTTGGAAAAGTTAGGTCGCGAAGAGGGATAAGGTGTAAATGAAGTAGCAGCTTGAAAGCCTCGCGTAGTTACTCGCCGGTTCCTTGAGAGTAAACGCGAGGCACGACGTAACAGAGTAGGTTTGTTACTTAGACCCCTTTTCCCGCCCCCCATTTCCGCCTTTCGCGCGCCACCGTGCCCGTATATATTTTCTTGAGCACGTACGTGTCCTCTCCTCTCGTTCCCACCCCTCGGAATCTTCCTTCCGTTCTTCTCTTCCTCTCCTCCTTCCCCAGGAACCATTTTATCTTGGCTCGATCTAGCCCCTCCAACGCAACCCCCCGTCCACCAAACCTCAATAAATTAGGTTGCTACCTTTATATGACTGGAAATTGAAGTTATCGGCCGGAAACTCGCTAGGAGATTTAAGCGGAATTTATTGTTCGATATCCATGGCCGAGAGAGTCGCTTTTTTAAGCGCGTCACTCACGTAATGCACGAACCATTCTTCGTAAAGCTCGCTTCGCGAGATTCTTCTCCCGATGATATAGTTCTCGCGACGGAATCGTGGAAAACGGAGAGGAAATGCCTGCCGGACCAAGTACCTTATTGAGTTTTCACTTAACGGAGTGGAGACCGGGATCGAGCGGCGGGATGTAAAAGCGAGGACGGTCTGACCTTTTCAACGTTTCTCGCAGATCCTCGCTCGAGCGACCGAGAGTTAACGACGCCGCAGATTTTATCCTCTCTCGGACTCGTAAGCGGCTTTCGCATCCGCGTAATTCGTCGTAATTTTTCATAATAATTCATCAATGTTATTATTGCAATTCATTTATAGCAAATAAATCTTCTATCATGAGAGAAAGGAGAGAGACACGATTGATACAGTAATTCAAAACATTAAACATAGAATATATCTTAAAAGAAAAAACATTTACCCGGATCGCCTATGTCAAATCTAATGCAAATTATTACGGCAATTTGCATAAATGACGAAACATACATCGCAACGGTACGACAAACGGTTGCGACACGCGCGCATTAAAATAACAACCGATTGACGCGATCGACGCTAAAAACGCTGGAGTTACATAAAGAACGGCCAAGTTATCCTTTCACTTTCTCCACGGAAACCTTCACGGAACTAACGCCATCGAATTGTCCTGGACTAACCAACTATAATAATAACATACCGGGGGGGGCAACAAACGGTAAGCCAAGTAGCCGTTTCTCCTTTCTTTTTTCAGAACTTTGAGGTCGCCAAAGTGATTTACGAAAAAGGTTGCATACAGGCCGGCGAAGAGTGGATGGAGCGTAATCTCCTCGCGATTGCCAGCGGTGTGGTTGGTACGGCATTCGCTCAGGTACTCGCCAGTAAAATGCATTAGTATAAGTACAAACTCCGACCTTCGACACGCATCGGTGAACTTTTAACGAGTACGTGCAAATCCATCGACCCGCCTCGCGAATAATTAACACTTTGAATCTCTCCATTTTACGCTTGATTCGAGTAAAGAATCATAAAACTTTGACAAAATACTCAGATGAAAATTCATGTTTGATGGAAATTTTTGAAAAATTTTATTCTAAAATTTAAATATATATCTTTGTCTCTCTTTCGCGGAATATTCTTTTAAATTTCCGCTTATAATGGAAAACTTAAACCTTACAACTTGCTTAATTTTCAATTTGCGATTCAGATACATTCTATGTCGGTCGAGAGATTGTCGTCATTGATTCAAAGTGTTAAAATCAGATTTTAGCACGTTTCTCGTAATATATTCGCCGATGCGGCCTGCTACGAGAGCATTATTAGAGCCGTTGCATGCCCTAGAGGAAATAAGGTGAGACTTTATCTCGCTTGCAACGTTGACTGTTACCTATCTCGTTCGTAGCGCGTTACACGCGAGAAGACGTAAAGTAGATGCGAGATACATAGTAATACGTAGCTAAGCGATGCAAGTGCATTAATCAATGTAATATATTAAGCCTTCTGAAATTTCATTAAAGGATTTTAAATTACCGCTTATTTATGGCACCAAATTTTTATTATTGTTCATGTATGAGTCGAATCAATACTCAAGCATGTTGATATTATCTGTTGTATTACGATAGATTTTATTATTTTTATTTCATAATCTATATTATTTAGATAATTATTCAGATATCCCTAATTATGTATGTACATATGTACTTAGTTATTTAAAATTACGAATATATTATATATAACGTATATCAACTATATATATATGCACCAAAAAATACACAAGTATACTATCAAATAATAGCAAGTAAATAAATGTAAATTGAGCAGCTTTCTTTCGATTGAAAAATGCGTACGGTTGTTTCATGTATATTTTTTAAATTTCTCTCTGCAGCTATATACAAATTTTACATATTTCTCATTTTCACAGAGTTGATTCAACGTTCATATATGTTTTTCAATTTTTCTCATCAAAAATATGAAAATAATACGTATTTTCAGAAATAAAATAAGATGATTGAAACATTTTAATTTTTTTATTATTTTTTCCAGTAAAATTTAGAACTCTGTAAAATAGAGGAATTATAAAATATTTCGAAATTGTATGTCTCTTCTGTAATTAAATCAGATATAAAAAGCAACATGTTTAAAACATATGAATATTCTGTGGAAGTGCTAGGAATAATTTTGTTCGTAGTTCTCGTAGCTTTTAAATAAATAAAGTATCCTTGCTATTTTCAGATTCTGGGAATCTGCTTCGCGCAAAATTTGCGCGCGGATATATTCGCGCAAAAGGCAAAGTGGCATTGACAATCGCGTGCCCCCACGGCAGTCTAGCATCTTGTCTTTATAGATGCTAACCGGCTACGTTGATCGAGTTACAAGACCTCGACACGGACTTGGAGCTTCGGCGAGCGGACCAATTGAAACTTCCTTTGGATGAAGAGAAAACATAAATCCCTTCGAGAGATTTTCACGGCGATCGAGGCAAAAAAAATCGTCAGACGGGTGATGCCAATACGCCTGTTATCTTTGCGATTCTTCGACGATAATCAAATTTGCCGATAACTTTACGTTCGTGCCGCTCAAATCCTTCGACTTGTAAACATCCGAGAAACTTCGCAATTGCACGCGACGATTCCCGTCCTACTCTTTCTATACCATTCAATCGATTAACTCGCTGATTATATGTCGGATAACGAGAGAAATTGATTGTTTTCGAAGTTCATTCTTATCTGCCGCGCGTTAATTAATTTTGTTCGTAGATGGATTTCTTATCGTAAATAGATTTGGAGCAATCTTCCAAAATAGTGACAGATTTTGCAAATATATTTATAGCCGCATTATTTGGCATTTCGTAGAAATTAATTTTATTACTTTATAAAAAAATTAAAAGATATTTCTTATTTAATATACAAAAGATGTATAAAATGAACCAACAATTTATCTGTAGCACGTTCAATTTTACAAAATAAAAAAATTAACTTTTTATTGATATCGTATTTAAATCGGTGATGTATATTTAATTTAAAAGAATGCTTAAAATTTTTTAATTAATAAAATAGAATTTATTGCCATGCACATTTTTATTAATTATAATTAATTTCTCTCAATATCGGACAACGTCGGCGAGAGGATGTCCGACACGAGCGTTCAATAGCGAGGTTTTTCGACTGGAGAGCGTCGCATGATATTGTCATGAAACGTCCAAAGTAACGTTTGTCTTCATCACCAAAGCGGAACATCTCGATATTTCATCTCGACGTTGCCTGCGAAACGTATCTACTTCTTTGCGAGAAATCGCGCACCGAAATATTTCACTCAAGAATTGCGAAAGACAGGCATCTGCTTTCAAATCTTACATGAATTAGCACTCAAATCTAGAATTTTTTTATATTTATGAGATAATTCATTCTTTTACACTGAGTCAAGTCTGTAAAACGCGCTCCAGATAAATAAAAAAATTTCAGAATTTCGTACAAGAATACAATGCGCTTCTGGCTATATTTTTAATAATTTTTTTATATATATATTTATATATATTCATATATATATATATAAATATATATATATAATAATTTATATATATATATATATATATATATATATATATATAAAATATCAATTTGAAATACAAGTGTCTTAAATGACAAGAGTATAAGAGTGAATTATTGGATTACACGAAATGGATATTCTCGAATCGAAAAACGACTTGTTCTAGAATATCCACACCTCTCTTAATCCAAGTCAACAAGCAATCACAAGTGACTCTTAAGACGCGGACTCGATTCCACTGAGAATCGATACTCGTAGAACAAACAATAAGATCTCATCCTGTGCCTGGTACTTGCAATTCGATCTCTCTCGAAACGTCTCGGGGCCGATTACATCAACTTCGATTATCGTCGTTTAATCGTTTAACTACATTTTCGCTCTCCACCTATAAAGTTAGAGGGGTCGCAGTTTTGCCTCAAAGAGAGGTAGAAAGTTTCGTTAACCAGAGTTAGTTAATTGAACCTATCAAATAGTTGACTGTCAGACCCGATTAAATCAACATCAGCCATCACTAATTGTGGTTAATCAATTATTTTTAGTAAAACTCAATCGTACTAAGTACATACGGGCAAACGAGCATCCTGGTGGAGTTAACCGATAAATGCAATTGATCCTTAATACGACTCGCAACTCTTGATCGCTCGACCGTGGCAAGATTCGAAGGACACGGTCGATTGCGGAATTTCGCTCGGAGACGGAAGTCGATACGTTTCGTGCGTTTATATATGGGGAAAAAAACAGATAAGCACCCTCGCCAGGTCCGCGAGCTAAAACGTGTCGAGCCATTAAAGTCGATCGACGTAACGTCGTCGTGGGGGCGCGGTGAACGAGAGAAGTCGACTTCACCGCATAACACAACACTTGAAACAACAACTTTCCGCCGTGACGGGGAAGAACGGCAGCCATACAACACGCACGAGTGTACAATAACTTTCCCTTGCTCCAATCGCTCTCGCTAAAACGATGGCAATGGATCGTACCACTTCGGGCATATTGATCCCACAAGTAGGCACATCCCTCCATCATCAGCGGGCCAGGTGTCCGTCGTACACCCTGTCTATTCGTATCGCACGCACGTCAGAAAACACGTCACTCAAAAGCCTCCTCGACCCTTCGATTGATCCTAAAATAGCTGCTATTTATCGCTACGGTAACTCAGATTGAACACAATGACGAATTCGTGAATTTCGGAAATGGATTTACTAAAACCAGCCACTCGCTTTACATTTCATTATAAAATTTATTTTTAATTAAAAAATTTATTAAAATTTATTTTTAAATAAAATTGAAAAAGAAAATTAATTAATTATATTATGTTTACATTTATCCTTTGCTAAAAATATTGAAAATTGCATGTAACAAACTTGTTTGCAACAAATAAACGCTGTTATGAATTGCAATAATAATCTGATATGTTTATATTGATATGGAATCTTTTGCGGGAAAAATAATATCAAAGAGATTTTGACATATGCTGCTATGAAGGGTCGACATGGTAAATATGAGCGGAGTGTATGTATTTTATATCATGTATTAAATTGCACGTGCAGTTGAATGAATTATGTGCTTTACGTGGATTACGTGCGAGTAGACGTGGGTGACGCAACGTGCTAACTTGGGCTGTTAATATTTATAAATCTTGTGTGCTAGAATATACACGACGATTCCTTACGTATTAATTTATGCTCGAACTTAGCGACGTAGCAAAAATTCGTAGGAAAAATTGTTGAGAAAATATCACAAGATTTTCCCGAATCTACGAAAATTTATTTCGTTGGACAAAAGAGACAAAAAATAAAATTTTTCCGAAAATTTATAATATTAAATTAATAATATTATTTTATAATATTAAATTAGATCGTAAAACATTTTAACGCGGCTGGTCCGTGAACGAAAATAATTAAATACTATAAATAAAATTACATAATTAATAAAATAATCACATAAAAAAATGAAATGCAATTGATAAGTTTTTAACTTTTGCAAAATGCATCTTGAATTATAAAACAAAAATCTAAATACCAATGTGTTTTCTCTGATCAATCTACGTGCCAATCGATTGCTTGATAACCTGTTGCTAAACAGTTCGAGCATAAATGCGAAATATGTCATATATATATATATCCTTCTTTTCCCTTAAAGACATTTTTACAAAATTATTCCCTGTAAAGTTCATGATGTTAATTAATCGAATATATCGGTACAATTAACGAGAAATATCTGTTGAAGGAACGCCGTTGTTATTTTACATACAAGTCCACTATACGAATTTATTGTCGACTCACTCTAGAAACACCTCTATCATAAGTACACGATATTGATTCGTGATGTTGATTAGTCATACTTGTTTCACCGTATAAAGAAGTTAAGTTAATTGACGATTGTAATTTTTCCCGAGCCACTGGCGCGAATGTGAAAACGCGGGTTTAGCAAAGCGGCTGTGCTATTTAAGACGAATAATACTCTTTTCATAGATAATTGTTTTTAATATTGTTCCCCTATCTGTCTCTTTCATGTGTTTTATGACGAGTGGCGAACATAATGCATACGATATGTGTATACACAAGATCTGTAATGATCTGCTTTATCGAGATTAAAATATTAAAAAAAATATCATACATCTCCTAGTAAACTAAGAATGACTGTTTTAAAAAGATACATTCCAATATATGTATATGATTTCTGTATTTATAAGTACACGACAAGCACAGATGTATGTAGGTTACGTTTAATATAAAATCGTCAAAACAATTTGCTAAACCCGACATTTCCGGCCAGTGCATCGTTCCATTAATTTAATTTGTTAACCTGATCCGATATCCTCATTGAGATTATGGGCAATCTCGCCAAAGAATATACGGATCACGTAACAAAAATTAAGTTCGAAAAATATATTTTATATTAAATATATTATATTAAGCGAATTAAGTTAATGTATACAAATTAATTCGTTTTATTTTTTTGCAAGAGATTTTCAATTTTTCTCTTTCAATTTATTCAAATAACGGATAATATGTTGATAATCATGCTTTTTCGTTTCGCATCACAATTGTTAAAATATCAGTTGCTTAGATTCATAAGGTATCAAATTTACCATAAGATCGAGCCAGTAATTTCTGGTTAAGTTATTTAGTTTAATTATTCGCAAGAAATCTACACTGCAACCGTCTTTCATATACAAAAATGAATGAAATTTATTTTTAAAACGCGATATATAGTTTGCCATACTTTAATAATTTCATAAACCAGTCATCTATAATTGGTAATCTATTAAATTATATTTGAACGAATTAATGATTTTTATTCTCTGTACGTAGGATTTATCACATTACATGTTTGTAATCTCATAAATGTTTCAAAACCACATATTTCATCTTTAAGCACAATATCATTTGCATATTCTTTTTTATTATTAACTTTTTATCGTAATAAAAATATGATTTACATAATTTTTGTTGTTCTTTTCTTTCACTAATTTAATTTTGCCGATATATTTTCTATATTTTGTAATACATTAATATATATGTGTGTGTATCATCTCTTTTTTAATTGTAATCTAAATGTTTTACATACTTATTTTTTAAATTTATCCAAAAAAATTATAATTTTTTAGATATTAAATATTAGAAAAAAATGTTGACAATTTTTTAGTTGTATTTAGAATGATATTTCTTATAATATCACTGCATTTCGATGTAGCAATCTTTAAATGTTACTGATAAATAATTGCAATTGTCTCCGATTGTAAAATAATCAATAGTGACTCGACAAGCTAAAGGTAACCAAAATGATAATAATTTATATCTTACTATCCGATCCATCTACTGTCTTATGGGCAGTTATTTCATTACATTCCTCCTTTAAAATTCTTGTAAATACTGTATATTTACTTGTAAAAAAAGAACTAAGGGATAGTTTAATCGCTTGACCAATACCGTTATAAAAGAAAATAATGTAATATAACGTTTTATTTCATGTAGAATAAAAACAAGATTCTTTGTCCAATCAGCGCATTCCGAATCTTGTAAATATGTAATCGCATATGCCATCGTATTGACATAATCGGAAAATAAATCAATTATCGTGCCAAAAAATTCCAGTCACATTTGGATATATCATCGATGAATTTGAGAAAATAGTCGAAAACAAATGTATAAATGTACAATTCAAGAGCTTATTTCTCCACAGATAAACTATATTTCATATATATAAATATATTTTTTAAAATAAGAAGATTATACGTCTACTTCTCCCGTATTAACTTTCTAATACATACTCTCAACTTTTCTTAATAATAATTTTAAATATTATT